AGAACCTTTTGTAAGAGGGGTTCCATTGGCGTTACTGTCTGAAAGATGCACATGGACCCTAATGAAGTGTGCATCATGAGTTCAACGTATCCCGGGCCGATTTGTTGAACGTTCACATCCAACTGCAAAATCTCAAATCTCTCGAATAAAAGCAGGCGGTGTCTTAGAGTCATGTATGCTCTATGTCTTAAATTTTCATTGTCTTGTTTTCCTAGTTCTGTTCCATTAGAGTTCTGAGATTCTAAGAAAGAATTATGCGGTGTCCAATTAACATTCGTCCACGAATGACGAGCGAAAGCAGAAAGGAAGTGTGCAATTTTCGTAAATATCAGCGGGCCATGCACTGCGCTTAAATGTGCCGAATCTGCACCATTCTCTGCAACTTCCTGAAAAATGTGATATTTATATTATAATATTAGCTCTGATGCGCAATTTTACGCATACGGAACTAAAAGAACAGAACTAAAAGTTCATTAGCAGTTGAAATTTGTTTTTTATCCACTAACGTAACGATTTCGATATTTTGCATATTTTTGCATATAACGCACATTCTGTCACATTGTGCGCATTATCACATCTTAAATTTCTTATGAATGCTGAAAAGTCCACAGTCTAATGATGATATATGTAGACTATATATGTATATATACTGATACGAATTTCTTACCTGTTCAAACTCAAAACACCGATCATTGTTCTTAGGATCTGTTCATGGAGGCTGCAATCAAGGAGTCCAAAATCCATTTCTTATTTCAAATATCCGTCAGCTTTACTTAACACATATCTAAAAAAGGAAAAACAAAGAGCAGAGCACTAAAAGATCGCCGTCGATCTAAACGTTAATGGCCAGCCTTGGTTTCCTTGATTTTAGTTTCCATGATCGATTTATTATATTGTTCTTAACTTGATTATTTTTAAATATTATATAAATATAACTTCAATTTTCTTTTTACAGAAGTATATAATAGGACTATTTAAGCTTTAGATTTTAAGGAGAAAAAATAAAATTTAAACTCTTATCAACTCGTCCACTCGTCTTGTTATACGATAAAAGAAAAAAGGTAAATTGATTAAATTTACCTGTATATGACAATTAATAAGAAATTCATTTCGGCCGTGGTAACGCCATGTCCGATTTGAGACATGACTGTTTGTTTGTGGCTGCCAATGTGGTTCTAATTCCTCAGCATGGTACCAAACAAAAATAATTTCGTTTGCCTCGCAACTTTTCCAAGTTTTCGTTCTGGCAACATGTGGCACTGTGAAATCAAGTGAAGTATAATTAATTATTAAAAAGTAGTTGTATATCGTTGATATTGATGGATATTAAAATATTTATCGCATTTATAAACAGGCAACAATTAATCGAGTAAAGCTGTAAATTGAGTCACCTTTGTCAGCATATGGAATGTAATCGCATTGTCCATCGGAACCACGAAATTGCCAACCATGAAAGGGACATTCTAAGCAATCACCCTTCACACGACCACCTTCTGCCATGTTTGCACCCAAATGAGGGCAGTAAGCATCCAAAATTCTTACCGTTCCGTTATTTGTTCTTTAAATGAATTATTAAATATTGTCATAATAAATATTCATAATGAATATAAATATAAATTAAGCTTTTAGAAATTTTTCAAATTTATTTTAATATATAGATTAATTTATTAAAATACAGACCTAAAGACAGCAAAATTTTGACCAAGAGCAGCCACATGTTTTACTTGACCTTTTCCTAATTGGGAACTTTCTAACAGGGCAAACCATCCGTTTGGATAAACTGGAGGAAGTTTCCCCAATTTGCGTTTCTTAGATTCCAAATGATTCGCTAAAACTGTTTTGTTGTCACCTTCTAGTCTTAAATCCTGAAAGAAAAATCAATTATTTCTGATGCCTTCAAAATAAAAATAATAAAAAATAATAGTATATAAATTTAGTGATAATAATTTTTTATGATAAGATAATAGTGAGATAGTAATAAATTTTTAACAAAATAAATGAAAATTTAATTAAATAATTATTTTAAAAATTTCAGATTAAAAAATGCATAGATATGTATATTTCACTTTGAAATGAAATGAAAACTTTGAATTGAAATATATCGTGTTTTTCTTTTAAGAATAGAAAGAATCGCTGATACGAAGAAAAAGAATTCTTCTAGTTTTACAACGTCACGCGCAAAGAGAAATCTGCTTCCTCATTTGTAAACATAATGTCATCATGATGGCTTCTGTTCGCATTCGTATGTTGCTTGCGTTAAAGCTTTATGAATTAGTCCAATAGAAATAAAAAAAATGACCATCGATAAATTTGTGTAAATCTTTCCTGCTATTTTTATATTTTTGACTAAATATTAATATGTTAACATATTATTTATAAGTTTTTTTTAAATATGTAGATAATATTTAATAATATCTATCTCTTATTTTTTATTAAATTATAGAAAGAAAAATAATATTTAATAATAGTTAAAACATTGTGGCACTATGTAACATCAAAGTATCAATTCAGATTTAATGAAAACTCAATGCAATTCAAAATTACAAGTTACTTCTTCCTGCGCAGTCCAAAAATTTTTCTTTTCTTACATTGCAAAAGGTTTATGAAATGTAACTATACCAGATTGCTATTATTTAATATCAATTGAATATTAATTATATTTTATAGATAATTATTATAGATTAATGATATTTTATTTCAATAATTTAACAATTGCAATTGCTTTCAAATTTCTTCTATAAATAGAAAATATTGATCAGTTTGAATTTGAAGAATCACGAAGAGGAAAGTAAAAGATGGGATATAAGTAGGTAAACCGGGCAATGGTATCGAAGAAGACTCACCTTGATCCAGTTGATCTTGTACAAATAGGAAACAAGGATACCAAAAAGCAAAAGAAAAGCACCACCGAAGCTCCACCATCCGGCCATCGCTGTCTTCTTCACCCTCTGCCCCCGAACGAAGAAAAGCAAGTGCACTCTAAAAACTTGTCCCTCTGGAACACCTTCGAACCACCTCTCTTATTCTCTTTGGTCTCACTCTTCCTCTTTCTCTCTATCTTTTCTCCTTTCCTTTTCCGATCACTCTCGACTTTTTCTCTTTTTCCTTCCTTCCTTCTTCCTCTTCTCCTGCCTTCTTTCTCAGCACTTCGTTTCCCTCTTCTTTTCCTTCTTTCTTTTCCCACTACTCTTTCTTCCTTCTTTTATCACTCTCCCTTTATCTTTCTTCTTCCTTGCTTTCTTTCTCCCTCTTGCTTCACCTTTTCTCCCTTCTTTCTTTTCTTCCTCTTCCACTATTCCTGCTCTTTCTTATGCTGCTCTTTTTTGCCCCCTCTTTTAATATTTTTCTACACCTGTTCCATATACTTGTCTTTCAAACTTTGTTATTTCTTTGATCCCTCGCTTCTGCATTTGTAATTTTTTTCGTCCATAGCTACTTGATTTTGGAGGTACTTGATAGGAACAAGATATCACTTCTGTTGAATCTGTTACACTTGATTTTCTCGTTGTTTGTTATCTTTAATTCTTCTTATTCACGCGGGTTTAGTTTCTTCTTTTTCATGTATCTCTTTCTCGTTAACAATTCTTCAACTCTTTTTTTTCTACAGCTTTTTTTTCTTAGTCGAACACGCCAATATAGTTAATTTTTATTCGATCCAAATTGTTATCCTTCGATCTTAAAGTATAATAGCTATAAGTGATAATTTTGAAAGATATTCACGATAGATCGATAGAATCGGAGAGAAGCGTAAAGAAGGGTCTACCAGACGGATTCCGAACCCTTGATCGTTTTTCGAACGACTGAGCCACTTCATCCTTAGACAGAGCCTTTTATACCTTTCCAAGGTGTACTAAGATCCTCAGCCGTGTCTATTCCGTACGATCCATCAATGTTTAATTGATTATATACACACATACACATACACACTTCCAATAGAAAGTCTCTCTTCAAAAAATATTGTTTTATTTATTAATGATTAGCTTTATAAAAACTAGTGAAAAATTAATTGTTGAGTGTTTACTATCTATTCTTTAAAATTTATGTCTCAGAATATGTTGCTCCAATCATTTATTGTCTAATACAAACTTTTGTCTTCAATTTCTGCCTATAACAAAAGCGTATCTGATAATTAACAAATATTCAAATTATAGAACTATTAGCAATAATTTTTAAAATTCTTCGATTGATATCGATAAATTCAATAAATTGGTTTTATAAATTGGTATTTACAAAAAAAAAATTATATTGCAAGGCACTTATGAAACATATATAGCCCAATGTATCGTGGCTATTTAAATGTTGAACAATTTATCAAACAATAAATTGTATACCTATATATCACATACAAATCCAACGAATGTCGATCGAATGGTCACATCGGTTACCACATTTTTCCGCTTAGAATTATGTACAGTCACGACCGATTTCCAAGTCCTTGTTGCATATCTTTTCTTCTATCGTGAATCGTTTTGTTTCTGCTTACCCTCCTTGTCTTCTCTTTTCATTTTATCAGTCCTGCCGATCGATTTCCGACTGTTTCTATCTTTGATCCTACTGTTTTCCGTATTTGTTTCCTTCTCGTTTCACTCTCTTGGTTCTTTTCCAATTTTTTTTAATCTTCTTTGTATCTTCTAGACACTTGCGGCCAAATCAGCCCGTTATCAGAATTGTCGACAAATCTTTAACTTTAAAAGGCATTCAGAAACATCATCTGAATTTTAAATCCAGTCATGGAAGATCTAGAATAAATACAAAATTTGATGTTGCAGAGAGTTCAAGGACAAATTCATATGTAATACAGCCAAGTTCTGCTTTAAACAGTTGTTTCTAACGGAAGCAGTAAATATCGGACTCGTGGAATACATTAATACGTTATTACAAGATTGTAGGTAAAAATCGTATATTTGTAAATAACGATTACATTTTGCATTTTCAATTCAACTGTTATAAACATGGTAAAATTTATTTGAATGAAGACTGATATATATCCAATGAAACATTGATATTTAAAGAAAAATGTGATCGATCGTGATATAATTTTTCAACAGAAAATTATAAAAAAAATATTCTGCAAAAATTCATATAAACTTATAAAAAGAACTCTTGTCATTTTATACACATTAGCTGTATTTAAAAAATTTTAATGAAAATTTCCAATCATTAGTTTATATCAGTACAGATCGAATAAAATCATTATGATCGGTAATATATTTACTTAAGATATAATTTGCATGAGTAATAAAAAAAAAAAAAAAAA